GAGCTTGGGCGGAGCCGACAGGGCCAGGGCAAGGAGCTTGGGCGGCGCCGGCAGGGCACCAGGCTCTAGGGAGGCCTCCCGGCCTTGAAGGACGGAAGAAGCCTTCTTCCTCCTCCTCCGTTTTCCGAGAGGGTGGCACTGCAGCTTCGTCTGCCGTTCCGGGGGCGCTGCAACCTATTCGGCCACCACCGGGAGCGCTGCAGCTCCATCGGCCGCCTCTGGGGGCGCTGCAACCTCTTCGGCCACCACCGGGGGTGCTGCAGCTTCATCGGCCGCCTCTGGGGGCGCTGCAACCTCTTCGGCCACCACCGGGGGTGCTGCAGCTTCATCGGCCGCCTCTGGGGGCGCTGCAACCTCTTCGGCCACCACCGGGGGTGCTGCAGCTTCATCGGCCGCCTCTGGGGGCGCTGCAACCTCTTCGGCCACCACCGGGGGTGCTGCAGCTTCATCGGCCGCCTCTGGGGGCGCTGCAACCTCTTCGGCCACCACCGGGGGTGCTGCAGCTTCATCGGCCGCCTCTGGGGGCGCTGCAACCTCTTCGGCCACCACTGGGGGCGTGGCAGCTTCGTCGGCCACCTTCGGGGGCGCTCCAGCCTTGTCTGCCATCCCGGGAGGCGCTGCAGCCCCCTTAGCTGAAGAACGTGCCAGGAACTCCACAAACCCCTCAAAGGATACGTGATTGCATCCTAGCATGCTCCAGGGGCTAATGGGCTCATCAAGGGCATAATTTAATAAGTCCTTTAGCGCAGAGTCATTATAGCCCAGCCCCTCTGCCGCATTCCTGAACTCCATGGCAAACTCCCTCAGCTCGGTCCCTCGTTGACGGAGGGAGCTCAGGGTCTCCAGCTGGAGCATGCGCTGGTAGAGGGGGCTGGAGAGAGTAGAGACCGGTAGGCGGTGTGAGCCCATTCTCCGCTGAGTCCCAATGGGGGCTGATCCGTTCTGTCACGGTGCATGCGGGGAGATGAAGCGAGGACTCAAGTGCAGGAGAAATGGTTATTTATTTTAGTAAAAAATGAAACAAAAACAAACTCAAACCACCCCGAGGGGGAAAAACAGACAGGCAGGCCTAAAGCTGCAAGCACATGGCAACAGACAACACAAGCCATGTGCTCGCTGAACACAGTCATCTGGTGGCCCTCCTGGGCACACCCGCTGAAGACTGTGACAGAAACTGATTGAAGAGAGGAAATATTATTTATTATTTAAAACATATTTTTGTAGCTACTATACACTCTAAAAAATGCTGGGTTGTTTCAACCCAACATTGG